AAGTTCCATCCCTATCACAGACATTTTGGGCTTATTATGTCATGTGTAACTAAATTGCCTTAGTAGTAATTTGAGGAGATCATTGGATATATGAATTTGGAATTTAGGAAATTAACCCAGATTGGAGATTTAAATTTGGTATTTATTAGCATCTCCATATTGGGCATTGTGATGAGACTACTGAGAAATTGATTCCAGATATAGAGAGAACATATGCAAAGGCCGAGATCTAGATGTCTCCAAATTTAGAGATTGGACAGATAAAAGGGAGTTAGTTGAAGGGACTGAGTAGGAATAATCACCACAAAAGGAGGCAACAAAGAAAATGTGCCCATAAGTCAAATAAGAAGGGGTTTCCAGAAAGGAGACTAAAGCTATGATAGATACAATAAGAATTGATACCTTCCAGCTCAATTTGGGACCAAAAGAATGTCAATGACTTTGAAAATAATTGGTAAACTTTTGGTTAAAGAAATCATGATTAATGAACTAGAATCACTGACAACAGACAATACTTTTTAGGAATTTTATCATAAAGGGTAGAAAAATTGGGAGATTAGCTAGAATTACTTGTTTGAGAGCGTCAAGAAGCTTTTTTGTTTTTTCATTTTTATGCAAGGGGTATTAAAACATGTTTTTGTGTCATAGTAAATAAGTAAATATTTGTGGTGATGAATGTATGAAATAAAGCCACAAAAACTTAGCCCACATTATGTGCAAAGTAAGTATTATTGGCATAAGTAGAAAGTGACTACCACATAAAACAATATGCGAATGTGAAATGGACCTAGAAATCCAGGTTTCAGCAGTAGGAATGTACACTTGCTATGATATATTCCAACTTTTAAAATTGTTTAATTTATAGTTAATGGATAACTGTTAAAAACATAGTCGTGTAATTCCAAGCATAGCATTAATAATGGGAAACTGAATGAGATATCAGGGGACACCAGGATGAGGGCTGGAGTTTTACTTCATGTAAATGATAAATGATTGTAATCATTGGTGAGTTGGCTCTATGGCAATACCCCTCATGAGCAATTCCTTTCAACTAGGTCCAAATTTCTCCAAATTGTATTGCATTACATATGCAGTTGAACTGCTTATGTGGTATAAGTATGTCTTGGCTAAGTGTAGTTTTATATTTTTTCTGCCAGATAGAGATATTCAAAGATCTCTGAAAGGACAGAGAGCACAGTGATGATAACTTTCCAAGGCATACTATAAAAAGAATATTGGATTTTGGGCCAAGCTCCTCAGTTTCATGTCTAAAAATAGACTTCTGCTTTCACAGGGGTTTGAGTTTAGTTTTGTTTAAAGAAAGCTGTGGATCTTGTAGAAATGAGAAGTATACTCTGAGTATTATGCCATACACTATGTATATGTGGTGCCAAGCACAGGTGTTTTTAAAGTGAGTTTAGTTGGGGAAGGAAAGCTGGGCAAGCAGATAGAGTTTAATCATTTATTTCAGAGTGGCTAAATTATACTATGGGTTTTTTAACTCTTTTTCATTATGCATCTCATTATTTCTGAACCAAAGACTCATCTCTCAAAGGTTTTATACACATTTAGATAGAAGGAAACGAAAGAAATTTATAATTAGCTAGATGAACCTACTGTAAGAAACATGATAGATCAGGAACAGCCCATGGAAGACTTAAAATGATTTATTTGCATAGTTAAGGATTAAAGTGATGCTAAATTTTATTTGATTATTCTGAAGCACAATTTTATGATCACAATTTGAAGGCTCAGTGTGATAAAGATTGAATTTATTTAAATATCACTTGGTGGTTTGCAATGCGATGTTGAAACTCTCTTTCTTCCTCTTTTCTCAGTAAATAAAAGCAAATTTGGCACTGTGTTTTACTTATGTGACTTCCTCTTTGAGACGTCAATTACATAAAAGAGTGAATTTAACAGGTCATCCTACCATGTTCTCTGGATTGAATTACATGCCTTGTAATGTATAACAGTTATGTCCAATAGAACTTTCTGTGATAGGACCATTCTCTAATTTGCATTATCATTCTGGTAGACAATGGCTTCGAGTCATTCACTACCAAGTGCTTGATATGCAGTTGGTATAATGGAGAAGCTGAATTGTTAGTTATTTAATTTTAATTAATTTAAGGATAAAGCTAGATCCACATAAAGCTACTATATTGAATATGCTTTTCACAAAGCAGTCCCTCCTACTCCCTGAAGTACACACATTTTATTAAAATATAAGGTTTCATAAAATACCCTTCTAATAAAAACATTTTTTTTTCTTTAGCTTGCTTTTGGAAATACTGTGTCTAAAGCTTTTTCTATGGATGCAAAAAAGATAAGAACGGCAGACAAAGATCTATCTATATGTCTATTTACAAAATCTCTACTGCTTAAAGATTGCAACTGTTTCAAACATAAAGATGCTGTGGCATTTATTCTGCACATTATTTTTCTCACTTTGTTACTAAGTGGGTTCCAATGTACTTAATGTTTATGTTGTGAATAATGACAGATCACTTGCATTGGTGAATTGCATGTGACTATTAAAATGACTTTTGAGCTGAAGTTGAAATTGCTGTATCTATTTATGTTTTCATAAATTCATTGCTTATAGTTTTGTCTTATGATGACTGCAGTTAAAATATTTTTAAAAAGTATCTTGGAAAATTAAAATAAATTATATTGTATCAATTTATGTGGAAAATATGAATTATTATTTTTTTATGATTGTGCTGGTCACCCTTTATTTTCTGTTAATTTGAACAATTGTCACTGAGACTATTGAAAAAAACATATAGTTACTGACAAGCAGAAATGTATTATTTATATTATTTATTGGACTCTAGGAGAAGTAGTGCTGGATGTCTCTTACAATAAAATGTAAGAAAACTTTCTTAAAAAACAATATGTCTATTAGTTTTCAGCTCTGTTTCCCCTACAACATTACAAAACTATTTGAGACTCCCAGCATGCCTGTAAGAGGATAGACCCAGTGTAATAAAAACCACCAACCAAAGACCAAAGGGCTCCTTGGTTTTCCTTTGTTATATTTTTGTTTCACACCTACTTTTTCTTTCTTCTTTTTTGGTACTGGGGATTGAACCTAGGGGCCTTATGAATGATAGGCAAGCACTCTACCACTGAGCTACACCCTCAGGCCTTGTTTCCTGCCTATTCATCAGGCTAGTTTTGCTTACATCTGAGAAAGCTTATTTAACCAATCCAAGGTTGGAAATTTAGTCTGAATTCTGTCTGCCACCCATACTGGAACAGAGGTATTATCAAAGAAACTTTATAGCTAAAGAATTTAAATAACTTGACTAGTATGTGGTAGCTGACCAGATGAGCTCACATACATTCCCTTACTTTACCATATGAGGAAGAAATGGATTTTTATCTAATCATGTGTGGTTCTTAAAGATAAAATATCAAAAGATGACATGAACAGTGTTTCTTAAGCTCCTCAAAATAAAACAGTACATAAAACAGACTAATTTTAGCAACTTGCCTATAATGCTACCAATATACTTGCTTAGGAACTATTCAAGTGTACATTAATAAATATTAGTGGCACAGTAATGCCTGAAGATGTTTCCATGTATTTACAACAGTTGTAAACACAAATGTACTTTTACCAAAAGAAAGATGAAAAATTCTTTTATCATCTCATGGTTATTAACTTTGGAAAAGCTGAACAATATTTAAGCATCTTAAATCTTTGGGTATAAGGAAATAATGACGTTCACAAAGTTTTTGATGCCTCTTCTTTTTAGAAGATTTTATTATTTTTTTTCAATAATTTGTTTAAGAAATTTAATTCCTTGAAGATATCTACAGTCTAAACGTACAATTGACAGCTTTTCTGTAGTATAAATTTTAAGATAATATAGCCAGGACTCAATGTCCTCTCATAAAAAGTTGGTTATGTAATTGCACCAGCAGGCAGAAATCCATGTTCACATATGCATTTGCATTATGAAACACTGCATGGAGGCAAGGCGTTAAAAAGGTAACATATTATTTTCAAACTAAACAATCCTTCAAATTTGTGGCTTTCCAATGAAATGTAGTTAGATTTAGTAATAAGCAAGTCCATTGAACAGAGAAATGAAATGAGTTTCATGTTCTTAACTGAAAGTGATATCTTAATTTATAGTTATATTAGAAGAGGATCCTATTTAAACTACGATATTGCTGACTTATTTTCTATTTTGTCTGAAATGATAAAAATTAAAATATGAAAATGAAATTATAGATGGGGAAAACATTTTTTCTTCATTAAAGTTTTGTGTATGTTAGACAGGCATTGCATATAAAAATAAATATCAACGAATACATTGTGATGTCATATTTTATTTAAATTGGATGTCACAACCCAATCTTGAATTAAAAATATTATTTAGAAATCTATTTGTGAAACGCAACTTCAAATCTTTCCCATAAGAAATATTTCAGCTGAAGTAGTTTTTAATACCATTTGTCAAAGCACAAAGTAGCACCTAGTTGCTTTAGATGCTTACTAATATTCAAATGGGATAAAATGGAAAGAAGGAACTTCCCAGGAATAGGGAACATTTCCATAGTTCATCAGAGGGCTGGGGAAAGTAGATAGGAGAAATCATTATTTCTTTTAATTAATTTTATTGGTTCTCTTTAGTTATACATGACAACATGATGCATTTTGACATAATTATGGAAGCATGGTATATAATTTGTTCTAATTCAGTTCCTAATACTTCCTCTTCCCTCCCCCTCCTTCTTTCCCCTCTTCCCTTTTTTCTAATCTACTGATCTTTCTGATATTTACTTAGTCTTTCTTTTTTTAATTAATGTCTGATGGATGTATCTGATGATAAAATTCACCGTGGTCCATTTATATATGTATAAAGGAAAGTTGTGTCAGATTCATTCCACTGTCATTCTATATCCCATCCTTACTCCCTTTCTTTCATTCCTCTTTGTCTATTCTACTTATCTTTATTCTATTGTTTTATAAACCCGTCCCCTTATTTTGGATTAGCTTCTACATATACATAATGGAGTATTACTCATCTATAAAGAAGAATGACTTTATTGCATTTGTTGATAAGTGGATGAAACTGGAAACTACACGCTAAGTGAAATAGACCAGTCCACAAAAGTCAAAGGTTGCATATTTTCTGTGATCTGTGGTAACCATTACTTCTTAAATAATCCCCTCAAACTTTGAGCCCTGTAGAATATTTACCCAAGTGCTACTGATAGCTAAAACAAGAACTAGCTAAATAGCTAAAACAAGTATGAAGAACATAATTGACTAGCTTTCTCAAAATTAATTTCTCTTTACTGTAGCTCTCTATTACAAATAAAAGAAACACTCATTTACTGTTTTTCCCTAAACTTTGAAGGTTTTTAAGCAATTTGAAAATTTCCAGAAAAACTGAGAAGTTTTATGCAAAACAGCTATGTGTTCTAAGTATCCACCATTATTTCTTTTACCTCTTTTCAGATCTTCTAAATTGGGTTTCTAAAAAGCATGTTGGATAACTAAAAATTTATTTATTTTTTAACTTAGGCCAATCATCCATTCAATTCTTTACTAATGTATTTTTTGTCACCATGCTATTTCTTTGAGTTTATTTTGCTCTGTGTACCATACAAGTATATTAGGTCTGTTGGAAGGTGAGTTTTGCGAAAGTTTAAAGGAAGAGTGTTCTACAGATGCTTTACACATTTCTGCCAAATTACTCATGCTGAATCTCTGTTCCATGTTATTTTTGTATTTTGAAAGTATCTCCAGCACACAATGCTCATACACCTAAAATGCAGTAACATCACACTTTTTACTGAGAACTGAATTTTCGAAAGTGCAAATTCTTATGCCTTGATAGGTCAATTAAAAATAATCTGCCTCATTTTAAATACACCACTTCCAAATACATTATGCTCTTCAATGCCTTATTAAGCACAGTGTCTGAACTGTGCTTAATAAGGCACAGTTCAGACACTGTGCTTAAATAATTTCCTAGATGAGTCAATACTTCCACAAAAGATTTGCCATTGTTCTATGCTGAAATGTTCTGTGCTGTGCTGGCCCTGGTCTGGGTGGTGGTTTACTGCTTACTGATTTTTTAACTTCCTGTCTACTTTCATCTGTTACTTTTGTGTGTAGTTTTTCCCCTCATAATGAACCACTGCTGCTGTTTATTAGCTATCAGTTAAAATTTAGAGAAAATTTGGGGAATAAGAAATATAAAAGTTTAACAAATGGGTAATATCCTTAACTCTAAAATAACTCTGGCTTTACAGCTCACTGGGGCTGTGTTTTATTTGGTTAAAGTGGACAAAACTTGAATATGATAAAAGTCTAGTATTATTATTATTACCAACAAGTTTATGGACAAAGAAAAAGAGACAGGTGAATGTACTCCAGTGAAACTACACATCATGGCCTTTCCTTACTACCCAATAATGAACAAACAGATTTTATCTAGTTTTAAGACTCAAATCTCTCTCATAACTATTCTTTAACTGAAAAAAAAAAGAAGAAGAATTGTACATGCTTATAGAAGGTATTTTCTCTATATCATGCTTTTTGAATGTGATTAAAAAATGAGGTCTGGAGAGCAGGTAACCATGCCTGAATAATTAACATACATATTTAAAATATACATGCATTGAAGTGATCTGCATAATTTAATGAAACCAAAACAATACTGTGACGTGATGGACTGAAGTTCAAGGTTTGGAAAAGATTTGCAGAAGGCCAGTTCTTTAAAATTTTATGCTTAAGGAGTATGAAGAACTTCACGGAAGCATCTTCCACATTTCTGTGTCATTTCACCCAGGGAAGTTGCATCTGAAAAAATGAAAGTTGAAATTGCTAAAACTAATGAGATAGATCAGGTGAAAATCCATCAACTTTAATAAAGATGAGCTAAACCTCTAATTATATGATATTTCATAGTTTTTATTTATATGGCATATTTTTATTTTGAAAATAATGCAAAACAATAGTTTTGGATCAAAATGCACTAAAGAACATTTAAAAAAATGTATATGTTCTAGGTGTTTGTGCTCATGTGTTAATAAAATTTATAAAAAGTTTCTGTTAAAACTCCTTTCTTCATATATCTACTGTATTCTATTTCACTTGAACTTTCAATCTTGGCTCAAAGGATGCTGTCACGACAAACCAAAGACAGATAAAGAAAAGCTGACTACAACTTTCTGTTTATTGTTAGCTAACATATCAATAATTGCTATCTATTTTGCTCTTGTTAAAGGGATCCCAACATACATTTTCATTTATGTATGATCTTCCTGCTATACTTGAGAGTTATATTAATTTATTTAAATAATAGTTATAAAAATTTTTCTAAAATAAAAATTGTCATGGGCTGGGGTGGTGGCTCAGCAGTAGAGTGTTCACTGGTGATAGCATGTGCAAGGCCCTGGGTTCGATCCTCAGCACCACATAAAAAAATAAAGGTATAAAAATTTATATAAAAATTATTTTAAAATTGTCATTATAAAGCCACACATATTCATCACATTATTAAAATAATAGCCTTAATGCAGGCATCTTAATTGTCATATTGCTAATTTCATCAGGCAGGTATCCTGATTTTAATGGCAGAGGTACAGAACTTGCTAATTGCATCTAGAGAAGCTATGATACCTGAGACATAGAACACCTCTTTAAATTTGTGTTGCTTAGAACTAAGACCCATTTAAAAACTCAAAACTTTGGTACAATGTATTAATAATTTGAGAAAGATATTGTGAAAATATTAGATTACCTTCTTTTCTAAAACACAGAGGAGATTGGTATCAGTTTAGAAACTAGGTAGTGCATAGCAGCTGTGTCTAGACTTGACCTCAAAACAAGCAAAACTTCCATGATTAGGTACCAGTTTCACTTTTGGTGTGAAGACTTAAAATGAAACCCAGAAGGTGAAAACCCACAACTAAACTTGCTTCAAAAGATTATATTTCAACCCTCACAGAAATGAAACAAAGATTTTCAGAATGTCTAAGATCTTGTTTCTCTTTGTTTTAGAAAGTATAACCAGTGAAGTTAAAATTCAACAATGACAATTTAGCACCAAGAAGGCCTGATGGGCCATGAAGAGAATGTTGGCCTAGAAGGCCAAACCTGAGTCTTAGATCTTGCTTTGGCCAAGAGTCTGTAAAAGTTTGGGTAAATCAATTTCCTCTCACAGTACCTGTTCCCTGAATTGTTTTAAAAACTGGGATTGGATTAAAAAGACTCTTAAGTTTCTGGATATCCAACTACTTAGCTGTTTGACTATAGGAACATTATTCAATGACTTGTTATCTAATAAATGAGTTGCATGTTATTCACATGCTTTTTTCAAAGGCATGTAGTCATAATAGGAAGAAAGATGTCAAAAATAACCTTGAAAATTTGAATGGATATAAATATCATTTTGTGGGTTCTGTTATTCATATAAAACACAAAACTTCACATGAGGAAGTAAAAAATCTTGGGGATATTTGTGGGAATATAAACAATAATTAAGAGGGTGAATTCACAATGATTGACAAAAGGGAAAGAGAAAATACATGATGTTAAGTTTTTTCTAAACCAGTCTTTCATGATATTACTGTCTTAAGATTTTAAAGATTAAAAAAAGCAATTTTCAAGATGCTAAACAAAATTTGTTAAGAGAAGGATAAAATTTACTAATTTGGATTGCACCCAATAGTGATTCAGGAAAGATTATATTAATTCAACTCTGTAGATTAGGAGTTTTCCAGAATTTCTATGGCCTGGGATTTTATATAAGTATTCATATGAGCATGTATTTCCTGTACAGTTTGTTTATCATACTTGTTTCAATTTAATTTAGAAATTTAAAAATGGGTGGAGAGTTAATTGAATTTAATTGTTTCAATCTCAGTGCCATTCAGTTAATACATTAAGAAACTGGAGGACATGGGCCCTATTCCATGAGTTACTTGGGTTTTAATGGCAATTAGCTACTTCCTACTTTAATGTGGCGATTTTTAACAACTCTTAAGAATGAGTGTACTTCGTATATTCTAGATGTGAAGAAAAATTTCATTCTGAGTTTTGAAGATAGTGCAGTTCAAAAGGTAGTAGGAAGGGGAAGGAGTATGGGGGTAGGAATTATAGTAGAAAGAATCAGACATTATTATATGTACATATGTGATTATACCACTGGGGTGATTCTACAACATGCACAATCAGAAAAATGAGAAGTTATACTCCACTTATGTATGATGTGACAAAATGTATACTATAATGTCATGTATAACTAATTAGAACAAATAAAAATAGGTAGCATTCAATAAATAGTTATATTTATGGGCATTCAGTAACTGTAGAACATTATTAATCAACAAATACCTAGTGGACAAAATTTATTTTAATTAAGTCATTCTGATAAAAATATGTACTTCTTATTGTGACTGTAAAGCATTTGAGGAGAAGGAAAATTGGTTCATTTAAATTAAGGGGGGAATGGGCAAAAACCATGCTTTTGGAGACTGCATTATTGATCTGAGGATTATTGTTAGAGAAATAGGAAACAGAATTACCTCTTCGTTAGCCTGAAACTGATAATGTACTTATAGGTTGTCTTAAATGTTTGGGAGAAAGGATAAACCTGTGTAAGCCATATTGAGAGAAAATATATTGCCCAGATTTCATATTAAAAAATATTTAGTTTTTAAAACCCAATGTATATGATTAAATAAAGTGTTTGACATATAAAATCAGGATTTAAGTTTACTGGATTTTAATTCTATCTGAATATACTACCATATGGCATTGTGATTTAATTAATATATCTAAACCTTCTACTTGCTTATATAATAATGATAAAAAAAATAATAATCATATACCTTTTTAAATACTTATATGTTAGGCACTACCCTAAGTGCTTAATATGCATCCATTCATTTTTATCCTTAGGAAAATACTATGTGTTAGAAATTGTTATTATACTAATTTTATAAAGTAAGATTTAAGAATTTAAGGTCGGTCCTACAGCTAACAGGTAGATGACCTGAGATTTGAACCTAGAAAACCTGATGTCCCCTGGCACCTTTATTCCATATTCTGCACTGCTTCTCAAGATACTGGAGATAGAAATAGTTCTACTTTAAGGGGCAGAATGATTCAATGAAGAAACGCATGTGAAGCACTAAGTGTAGGGCCCACGACAGAGTATATTTTCAGAATGGTAATGTAAATTGTTGTTAATCACAAGTATTGTGTGTGCAACATATTCTAGATTCACTACAAAGATCTGATTTAATCTTCACAATGACACTATACTAGTTTAACATAAAAGACATATAAAAATAAGGTATACTGACAGAAACAAGATAATGAATGACAACCAGGATTTGAATAGGGTATTTTGATTCCATGACTTATATTCTTTCTACTTTATCATTCTCTCTCCTATGTTCCATATTATTATAATCCTAGTAATATATTCATTGATAATAATCAATAAAATGTGTGCTTTTTATAACAAAGGGATGACTATACACTTATGCATATTTATGAAGATGATTATTGTGTTCATTATAAGTTTAAACTTTTTTCATGTTAATATTTAATAACTACATAGAAATTTGTGAAAATAATATTTTAGGATGAAGAAGATATAAGACATTCCTCTGTTTTCCAAATGTCTATTAAATTGCTTAGCATCAATATACTAATTGTATACAGAAATGCTTGAAAAAGTGAATTTATGAGCTAAGAAATCAAAAAGGGGATTTATAAGCAAGAATGGATTAGTCTATCATGAAATGTTAAATCAAATACTTGCATGCATTGCTAATTATTCAAATTGTACTCACACTTGATATCAATTAGCCTCTAGAATTTGAAAGCCGGTTTCTACCAATCCGATCCATGGGGATGCCAAATCGTCTTTTTGGATGAGCTACTACTTTCCTGAAACAAATCAAAGAGAATATTTTTAAGCTAAGGTTGCCATTATTAACCATTACTTTTATGCTTCCATTTCATGCAGATCTGGGGGTTTTCTTTGGGAGTTGGTATAAAGATAATAGTTACATTCACCAGTTACCATTCTCACACTCTGAATGTTTGAGGAAGTGAGTATAACCACATCCATCTTACACACCAGACACCTAAGGTTTAGAGAAAGTAATATATGCAAAGTCAAATAGACAAAGTGAAAAACCAGATTGTATTGACATACTGATCTGCTAAGTGGGTAAATCTCTTGTCCTCTTCAGATTTTATTCCTCTGTTTATTGAGGAAAACTGAACTGTTCTCCCCAAACTCTGCCTCAGAATAGATCTTTGGGGAAGTATAGTGGTGGGAGAGGAAAGGATGCAGAGAAGAAGGCTGAGTGGAAGGAAGTTTACCTCTCATGTCTTCATGTACACTTCACCCAGAAAAACCTTATATGTAGTGGTCTGTGTTGTGTGTATAATCTTGATATTAAATATTGTTTGAAAAATTTAAACAAGCTCCCTATTAAAATGAAGTTTGAAAATATCCACACAGGGTTATAAGAGGCCCATTACATCTTTCAGTTTATATGTTCTATACATTGGCTTTTCATTTGGTACATATATAGTAGTGGGATTCATTGTTACATATTTGTACATGCAGACAATATTACAATATTATTTGGTCAATTCATTTCTCAGTAACTCCCCTTTTATTAGCTCTTTTGTTTTATTTTAAAACATTTGTTCTTTAAAAAGAAAACTATATTTAAGCATTTTTATTTGATTTTTTTAGTATCATCATCTATTGCTGTCAAAACAAAATCCTAACATGAGATGTTAAAAAATTTGAATATGTAACTTTCACTTTCTAGCCTTGTTATAAGAGGAGAAACTAGAATTTACTTAATGAAGACAGAGATGGGTGGGATAAACTAAGAAGTCTCTATAAGTGACTTGCCTCTCAGCAAAAGGTTACTAATAAAAGCCAGGCTCCGTGGTGTATGCCTGTAATCCCAGTAGCATGGGAGACTGAGATAGGAGGGTCATGAGTTAAAAATCAGCCTCAGCAATAGTGCGGCACTAAGCAACTCAGTGAGACCCTGTGTCTAAATAAAATGCAAAATAGGCCTGAGGATGTGGCTCAGTAGTCAAGTGCCCCTGAGTTCAATCCCTAGTTATACCCCCTGCAATAGTTACTAATACACATATGGCTTTTGGTTGACTTCTATATGCAGAAAAGTAGGAATATTATAAATGAATTATATTAGACATGAACAGATACGTACAATAACACTTAGATCAAAAAAATCAAAATGTTATTAGTGAATACTTTAGGACTGATAATCTGAAAAGTTATTCCCCAACCAAATTCAAGGTTTTATGCTTTATATTTTTGCAAATGAACTGTAATAATACAGTTTATTGCTTGAAAATCTCAGTGATGTGGCACATATTACATTATAGTTCAAGTTAATTTTCAACATCTTATTTAAAATATTTATTTTTTAGTTGTAGTTGGACACAAAACCTTCATTTCATTTATTTTTATGTGTTGCTGAGGATCGAACCCAGGGCCTTGCTCATGCTAGGCAAGCACTCCACCGCTGAGCCACAACCCCAGCCCAATTTTCAACATCTTAAAGAGTGGAAAAAAAGACTTTTGGGGGAATATTTTCAATAGCTTGCATTATATAATTAATCTCTACTACATAAGTGCCAAAAATTAATGAAAACCTCAATGATTTTTGAGGTTTTATCCTATAGTCATTCAATTGATTTATACTTTCCTATGTCCTTACTATGTATAAGGTTGTTTCTGTGGCTGTCCTGACTTAGATGGATAAGAAATAGTCTTTGATTTCAAAAACTTTTAGACAAATACTCTCAGAAGTGATGATAATTTAATGCAAATTATAGAGGAAAATCTCTTAGTCTTACCAGGACCAAACTTTTTCTTAATGATGGTCCTGATAGTACTGTGAAGCAAATAATTTATTAAAAAGCTCTGAAAGCATGGAGAACAAATGAAACATGAGGGACTTTTAAAGTTGTACCTTGCACATAAAAATCTATAAATATCACTTAATTTATTTAAAAGAATTAATTTGTAGGTTATTAATATTTAGTGCCTTCTACATGCCTGATGCTGTGTATTGTGCTATCTATACAAGGATGATATCAACACACAGGGGAGCTGAGATGTGATTACCATCAAATAATATTTAGGAATATTATATTTTCATCTAATCTAACTTTGTTTTCTGCTGATTCACATCCATCTTCCATTATGGGTTGGCTCTTGGTTTTGTTAGCTGCATTGACTATATGTACTGTCTTATAAGATTTGTCTTCTAGGAAAAAATTTGATCAGTATGGGAAGATATTTATTGCTCATTTTTACCATTTCTGCATCCCTACCTTCCTTCATTATTTCTGAAAAATATTACTTCTTAAGGTGATGCCTGTTTTTTGCACTTCTGGATTTCTTAATTACAAATTGACTATATATTTGTCAATTTGTTAACCAAATAGGAAACTTGTTATTTGTAAAATTAGCTTAAAATTTATGTTTAAGACTTATAAAAAACTAGGCATGTTGGTCATGCTTTCAGCCATTTGATACAATTATAAATAATTGCTGTGAACAGAAAATAATGTCTCTTTTGTATTTTAAATTATCTTTAAGCAGTTGTTTTCTTTGTGGTAGTCAGAAAATCAGCTTTCCACAGATGTCCACATGATAATCCCCAGAATCTGCAAATATGTCACTTGCACACAGGATTAAGTTTAAGGACCTTGAAATGGGAAGATGATGCTGTTGTATCAGAGTATTTCCAGTCTAGTCACTGAAGTCCTTAAAAGTAGATGATGACTGAAGGAGACTAGGCCAGACAGGAACAGCAAACTGAGAAGAACTGCCCACATTTGCTGGCTTTGAAGAGGAAGGAAAAGCTCATGAATTAAGGAATGATGTATCCCTCAGAAGTTTTGGAAAGGAAACAGGGACTTGAGCAACCATGAGGAACTGAATTCTGCCAACAATTTGAAAGAACAGAAAATAGATTCTCCCTTAGAAACTCTGGGAAAGAGGAACAGCAGATGGATAGCTAGATATCCTCTTTGTCCAGATGGAAGACAATGCAAGAAGGACAGCATAGAGCACACTGCAGGACGAACTTTATAGGACACCTCTTGGCTAGCAATGGATTCTATGACTCATATGATCACAGGACCATATGACCTAGCTGAAAGAAACCTGGAAAAAGTCATCCAGCATTATATACATGTTGGGTGGTGAGAATATACTGGAGTCTGACCTACAGAATTTTAAGATGATCAATAATTTTGTTGTATTTTTTTTTATTATAGCAATCAAAAACCAAATATATCTCTCTAGGTGATGTAGGGCTTATGTCTGAGTGTAATGGGGTTAATATATAGAAAACAGTAAGCCAATGTAATTTTCACCCTAAATCCCTTTACTGACTATTCCACCATTGTAACTCCAGGAGACACCAATAGGGCAAAAGCCACTTCAGGAAGGGAGGGAATGTCCCCAGTAGTCTCTGATAAATAGGAAGAGGAAGTGAAAAAGCAAACCCTCCCAGGTGTTAAAAGGACTATCAAAAGGGGAAGGAAATGGCAGCTGGGACAAAAATTCATATGACATGTGCACTGATTTCCCAAATCTTATTTAAGAAAAGTGGTCATAAAAAAACAAATATTTTTACTTTTTAAGAGAAGTGTGATATTCTCATAAATCATATAAATTAGAACAGTATTGTTCCCTGCTGCCAATGTATTTTTTCAAAAATGAAAGTAAAAGGAATAGATATAATATTTTTTCTTTTAGGCTTTACTATAGTTGATCTTTCCTTGAGAGATCAGATTGTGAAAGAAGATGTTATAGTGCTGAAAGCAAAATAAACCTGCTTTTTCCCTCTTTCCCAACTTCCCTCCCTTCCTTTCTTCTTTTCTTCCTTCCTGGATTCCCTTTCCCCCCTAATTTTTCTTCCCTGGCTTTTCCCAGATTTGATCAAAGCAGTATTCGGAACCAGGAAATGGAGGGCTTGGGCTCTAATTTGATTGTTTTACTTAGTGTTAATATGATCCTTTGCACGTCTGTTATTATCAGCTTCCTTTTTTTTGATAAAATTTAGATAATACTTGTTGTTTCTATCTTCTGGAGCTGTTTATTCATTTAATATATTTACTTGTTAAGTAATAGTCAGTTGCATTTGGGTTTATTCTATGCACTGGATATACACTGGTGAATAAGACATGCTACCTCTCAGAGTTCACAATTCACCTTGAAAAGACATAATGAGTTAACACACGGGAAAACATTTTGTACTTTCCAACTGATATTATTCTTTTCTACCAGTCTAATCCAGTAATTTTCAAACTATTTATAGCCTACCTTTATAAACACAAACACTTTTTAAAAAAGAGCAATATTTAAAGTGTTAAGTGAATTGTGTCAGTAAGTTACCTCTCCTTGTCCATATATAGTGACCACTGAAAGAGCTTCCAGAAACGCTTAAACCTCCTTAGAGCAGAGGAAGTAGCCAAGTGGGTAAAGTAGAGACTAACAATAGATACATAAGAACTTGATTTATTTTATCAAATTTAGGATTGGTTGCAAATGCTCAAAGGTATATAGAAATTAAATTTTAAAATTAAGCATATATATAACATATATTGTTTATATAAATATATATTATATATTATGTAATATATAAGATATAAATATATAAAATATATACATAATATATATTATATGTCATATTATATATATATATATATACACACACATCTACTCAGCATTAGTGCTTATATAAAAACAAAATCTTTTTTCCAGAAAGCAAATAGAAATTATAATTGTTCAGTAAGTTAAAGAATTTCTGTATAATCTATATCAATTCAGAAGTAAACTGGTAATTTAGTTATTTTGCTATTATTATAAAAAA